CGTAGGTCTTTAAATCTTCGTTCACTCTCTGCACAGTGGAGTTCTAACAGTGACTGGCAGTGGGCTCTTGTTGGAATCAGATATGAACAGACTGTTACTGTGTTACAGAGACAGACTAGATAAAGCTATGGAAAAATATATGTTCAGATTTGAAATACCTAGCTGATGATAGCTCCTTATGAAACCCGGTGGAAGTCTAGTAGCTACTTCAAACTATCGTCAGACGCCAGTCATGAAAAGATCCAGTCAAATGACACGATATTAGATCTTTTGTGAACAAGGCGTGAAAAGATCAAGAATCGGCGACAGGGCAGGCCACATCAGGCCTACGCTTCAGCGCCGACATCACTATGTTATGTTATGTCTGAAGATGGCTAACCAGGCCTCAGCTCAAGCACAGCAAAAATCTGTCACAGTGCCATTAGTCATTAGATAATGCTGGAGGCATAAGCCAACCCAACCAGGAAATAGAACCAACTACTACTAACAACTCTCAAGGTAAAGTTATTGTTATTGAACCAATTGCTGACCTCCATCTGGTTGAAAAATTCTTTTCTTACAATTTGACCCTGAGTAAGGCCTTGGCCATCTCTCCATTTGGCAAAGCAGGAATTGCTATGATAAGCAAGAACCTTAGCCACAAAATTCTAGTTATAACCTTTGAGAAAGAATCTGGTTTCAGGATGACCTCTCTTCTAAAAGTTGACCAACTTGATTCATGAAAAATTAGGTGCCATCTCCCTGTCAACCTTACAAAATCAGTTGGAGACGGAGTAATAGGACAATTGGGTGATGATGTTTCAAACAATGACCTTTTTGAGGCTTTAGCATTAGCTGGCTATAATGATGCCACCGCTGAAAGAATATTAATGGGTAAATACAAAGAAACAACCTCTATTGCTCTTTGTTTAAGGTTACATTCAATTTGAGCACTCTACCAACCTTTATTCATCTAGGTCCTAGGATACCAATGGTTTCAGCTTCAGGTGAACCCCTATTTTGATAAGCCTTGGCAATGCTTCAAATGCAAATATTTTGGTCACAGCGCAATCAGCTGCAAGAATAAACCACGTTGTGTTGTCTGTGGTGGTCCCCACAGTGTAAAGGATTGTACTGAGCAAGGCAGTCCATGTTCCTGCAACTGTGGTGGGCAACACACAGCTAGCTTTGGAGGATGTAGATTTGTGAAGGAGGCCAAGGCTGGAAAGAATCCAAGTCAAGCAGAAGATTTCCTACCAAGATGCCTTGAAGCTTGATGCTTGTAAAGCAGTCTGTCAATACAAATTGGTACCAAGCTTATGATGCAGAACGTCCTGTTGCTACTCCTCAGCCTAATCTATCTTCTTACCTAAACCTGAGCACAGTGAGCAGAGAACCTGGTCTCAGAGAGTTAAGCCTAATTATTGCCATGCTCCCCAAAGTGTGACCATTGGAACCCCACACTCAGGATGATGTATGTTTTTGGTGAATTTTCCCGCGCATTTTCACTTTTTTTAAGCTATTGCTGTGCACAGTTGGCACAATGTAATGAAAATTGATTCTCTTCGCGCACGTGTTCGCGCAATCCCGGCCATCAATTCTGCGTCGCGCTGCCGCGCACGAGCAGTTTGTGGAGGAACAGACGGTTATAGTACGGTACTCAAAATTGAACTTGAGGGAGAGTCTAAAAAACTCTCTGCTTTGCCACTATGCCCGGACATGTCTTACATTTTATTATTGTCAGTTCGAGTCGCGTAGTAAATATGCTCGCGTATATTGTCGACTAAAAAAGTAGAACTATTTTAGCTTTCTAAAGTACGGCGCACGGCGCATTTTTTTACCAGCATAGTACGGCGCGCCGCGCAGGTCGTTAAAATGACAAAATAAATTCCCGCGCACCTGGCACATCTTCCTGACCATGGTTGGAACCCAGACTGACAGCCCTACCCTTCACCCACTCTGCAGAGCCTCATGGTGATGCAGTTTGTGGAACTCCTGTCAAAAATCATGTCTCTCTGTGCCAAGACTGACTACTTGGATACAATGAAAATTGTCAATGACCTCACTAGAGAAACCTTACAGCTCCAAACTGAACCCCCCACAGATTCTACTAACTCATGTTCAGCTCTACTACCTGCCACCAGTGCCAGAACTTCTTGTGTCCCTGCTAGTAAGTCTAACCAAGCAGAAGCTCCAGTGATCATAGATACTGAGATAACTGAAGTCTCCATTGAACCGTCTCCCATTATTGGAAAAAAACCCAGGAAAGTAGCTCAGGGAACTATGAAACTTATTGGCAACCAAACAACAAGCAAAGGTAAGAACAAATCTAAAAGTATGTGCTCTCCTCTGGCCTCAGATAGAAATAATGCTGAAGTCTCTAAACAATGTCTTCCCACCAAGAAATAAGAATACTCCAGTGGAACTGCCATAGCCTCAGTAACAAACTCAGCAACCTGAAACTGCACATTTACTCCAACAAGCCACATGTAGTATGTCTCTCTGAAACATGGCTTTCACCAAACTTTGAACCAACATTTATTAACTATAACACCATTTATAAACATAGAGAGGCTCCCCAGGCTGGAGGAGGGCTTGCTCTGCTGATCAGGAGTGATGTTACCTACTTGGAACATGACTTACAACCCTTTCAACGGGGCCTTCTGGAAGTTTGTGGGATCAAAATATACCTGAAAAATAACAATGTGCCAGTATCAATACTAAATCTCTACAACCCTAATAAAAATGTCACCTATCAAGAGTTTGATTTCTATTTCTCACAGTTAGAACCCTCATGCCTCATCGTGGGTGATTTCAATGCCCATAGTCCAGTTTGGGAGCCAGGCAAAATCCCAAACCAGAGTGGAAGGAACTTAGAAAATATCTTACTAAACAACAGCAGACTAGCTCTTCTGACCCCACCATCACTACCTACTTTTTTCAGTGTTTATCATAACTCTTTTTCTACCCTTGACCTTACAATAGTTTCAACAAATCTTTTACCATTAGCATCTGTGCACTTGAAGAGTGACATAGGACTGTCTCTTATACACATCTAGATGTGTATAAGAGACAGAGNGCATTGAAATATCCAGAAATTAAAATTTCAGAAACCATTTCAAGAAAGTAAGAAGTATTATACAATATATTTATTTCTATGAATTTTTGCAAATTTTGCCTATTGAAGGTTTAAATCGCACTTGAAGAATTCAATAAATGCAATCAGTACACAAAATTTTTCTATATAATTAAAATTCAGTTTATGTAAATGAAAAATTAGAAACATAAAATTTAATTTAATTAAATTTAATCAAGTTGCCAAAATAAATAAATATATATATTGATACTTCCAAATTTTGAAGAAAATGCGGAAAGAGCGTCAATTCCATTGTCCGAGTCAAAACCTTCATTTAAAAGCTCATATTTCAATTTGTGGACTTTGCAGCTGGTGATGCTATAGATAGAATGATGGTCAGATAATTAGTGATTGACTGAGGCATTGTAAGGATGCCTCAAAAACAAACAGGAAGCCGTGGTAAGGCTTTTTGTGACGCGATTTCAAGTGATCATATATGGTAACTTACCCGTGAAAGGGTTAACAAAAAACGCTCAAAACCGTCCCTTATTACCCCGTTTGACGGTATCATTCCACCCATAGTTCCATAGTCCTAAGTTTACTTGAATGTTTATGAATTCAATCCTAATTATGAGTTTTTGGCAAATTATTTTTTATTTTATTGAATTTATAACATTTTGGCTTATCTTTTAGTAAATGAAAATAAATACTCAAATGAAACAAATCCCTAAATTAATTCATTAATTCCCATTTTCTGTGACAAGCACTATAAGAGTAAATTTTCAGTAAGTGAATGAGTTTGTTCCACCCGCTAGTGCGCCCAGTTACAGTGCTCCTCAATTACATAGGTACATGGTCATTTAGCAGGCATTTAGAATGCCGCCTCCAACATTAATAATTCATGAATCCATTGATGAGCAGGTAATGGACTTTACTACTAGAATAATTGATGCTGTTTTAAGTACCATCTGCTTGTACATCTGGTGTACAGCCAACCAGTTCCTTTGGGTGCAGGTGCATCTCTGAGAGTTGTCTTGAGCATTTCCTTTACTGAAGTTCCATGCCCAAATTGCACAATCTCTGCAGACTCCACACACAATATGTATCCACAGAATTGGAAATTTTTCAACATAGAGCACTGTATTTCAGTCATTGAGAACTTGAAATATGGCAAATTAGGCCAGAAGTGTTGCATCACCAAATTGCACCATTTCTGTATCTGGGTTTAGTTAAATGATCTGCATAATTTCTCTAAATTGTGTAGCCTCCCATGCTCTTTATCTTACATTAATTTCTGAATGTGCCATCATAGAGAATTGTAAGCCAAATTATGTTGCCGCTATTATATGAGATATTAGTAGAAGTTTTGTATCAGATCCAATCATAGATGCCAGCAAGTTACTGGTGTCCCAGACTCCCAGTGAAAGTGAGATATAATTATGAACTGCATTAACTAGTAATAACGAAAAAACTTGAGTGAAATAATGTTTGAGGTTGAAAAATGTTCAATGAATCCCAAATAGTGTTTCTAACAGCTACTAATGTGATCACGTTTCTGCAGTTTTGGGTAAACTGCACAAAGAACCATTAGTTAAAACTGTTGTGCTGATATTGTGATTTTTATTGTCCATGAAACTCTGTCTTCTCTTTACCTACTTTGCATACAAAGAAAAGTGAAGTATCTTATCAAAAACATTACAAACAATTTTTCTGATGCCACTTGAACAGTATTGATATTATTTTGTACAACTTAAAAATAATTTTGACCATTATATTATACATCTTATTCTATGCTATCAGGTTGATTGTAGTGATATCACTATGAAGAGATAGGTACATACCTACATGCTTGAGCTTATACATAGTAAACAGGAATTAAACGTGTAAGCATTGAATTTATTTGTTAGAAATGTTCAGCTGCTATTATTTTTACGCTCCAACAGAATCATCTTCATTGTTTACTCAGCAGAATGCTGGCATTTTAGAATTATTTTTCAGGAATTATATGTATCACTTTAAATAATGAATGTGAAGTACCTACAAGCCATGAAAAAATTTCTCTATGTGCAAAACTACTAATTTTGAGGCTTTTGTGACTGATTTACCGATTGTCAAATAGATAAACTTCACTCTGAGAAAGCATAGCTAGCATGAACAGTTCAGAGCTTCTGCTTCCCAAACATGCACCAAGCAGAGAGGATAAATCTAGTGATACCACTAGCATTTCTATACATTCCAAATTATGGTCTAAAGCTTCTGTGCTGACTGTTTTTGGAGCTGCTTTGATTCCAATATTCATTCCATTTTTTCATCTGGGATTGATATCGAAAATATGGGAGGAATACAATTTCCCTGTTGACATGAAAAAATGCTCGTGTGACTGCTGGGATACAATATTTAAAGGTTTGTGATGCTTGTGACTTGAGCTGGCTTATATTCCTATGTCTTAAGTATGCAACTTATTTTCATAGCTGTGAATAATAAGTGTATCAGGCCTATTATAATAAGTGTATCAGGTCCATTCACTACCTACTAACTGTGCTCACAAGATTTTGTCCTTTTTTATGCACTGCAATATGTTTTCTCTAGACTTCCTCAGTTTTGTGTAAAAATACCGTAGTGTTCTAAAAATCTTCTGATGACATAGCAATATCTCCCAATATTGCAGGGTTTTTGCATGGATATAGGTATAAAATGTTGAGCAACTTTTTACTGATTTCTGTCTTATTTTTCATCAATGTGTGCATCACATTTTTAGTTTTTGTATTGTATTGATTACATTCAATTTGAATCAGGACCGTATGACAGAGGCCCGGCAGGCTACAAACATGTCTACTTCAACATCACCAGCAACACCTTCAAGATCTGGAGTCTCACTGTGTTTGCATTACTTCTTCTTTATGAGTCTTCCAAGTACATTTTGAAACTTTTCTTTGAGAGACAGGTGGGCTTTATGTTCAGGATTATATTGTCATTATAAGCTGCTGAATTGGTTGTTAACAAGATTACATACCTACTATTGTGATAGGTAGATATAAAAATATCAATTAATTTAAGAATTCAGCCAAGTACGATTTTTAATTTATTTCTTTGAAGTTCTATCCACATTCCATATTTATTGTAGATATAAGTTGATGCAGTCAGTATTGATATTCCAGGTACGTGTCTCTATGTTGGTGTTGCTGCTGCTTAGCGTCTACCCTCACTACTATGCCTGGTGGTCATGCTTCAATTACTGGAATGATGATTTCTATGACCAATGGAACCATCAGATGTTCTTCTCCATTACTGAAATGATCTCAACACTCATGGTTATCCACCTGGTGGACAGGTGCGTCTTTTTCTAATAAATTACTGTGTAAATTTGTACCATTGCTTATGTTTAATTCATGCCGAGCTCCTTCATTTTCATATTATTACAAGAAAATTAAATGTACCACAAGCATGTCTCCTTTGGAAACTCCAGTTTCTGAAATATGCAAAGTGCTCCAACAACAATGGAACTTGAAAATGTGATTGAGAAAAATTATAGATCTAATGATACATGTTTTTAGTTTTAGAAAATTAGTTTATATGTTTCTACTAATTAAATACTTGGAAGGAGAATGTTATTTCTTGCATGTATCACTATAAAAGTGCTGTGTCTCCCCTACAGACGTGTGGCGGTAACAAGCAGCAAGTGTCTGGTTATTTTGTCGGTAGCTGTGCTACACATCCTTGCCTCAGGGTTTGATCAGTTTGTGGAGAACGTCGTCCGTGGCAATGGCATGCTACATCAGGTAAATACACTATGTATATTTTGTATGTAGATCAGTTAGCCATGAACCGATTAAGTTGGGTTAGTGATGGTAGGTGGGCTCAGCCGTTGTGGGGGTCGACCTGCAGTTGCTAAGCACACATTCCGCATGTTCATAATGAATTTTGGTAAAACTTAAGATTATTATATTAATGGAGTACAATATCAAAATCCTAACTGAGCCATGAACCGATTAAGCACACATTCTGCGTGCATGTCTATAATAAATTATAGTAATAGAGTGTATCAAAATCCTAACTGGACATTACTACAACAGGTGTTACGAGACGTGTTCATCATGGTGCCTGATTTGTTCCACGTTGCTGTACCTCTGCTGGAGCTGCGAGGTGTCGCGCGTCGTCTCCGAGCTCCGTCTGCTGCTCACGTTGTCACCACCCGCCAGTTCTGTGCATCTCTTGGCTTCATCACTTCTATGTGGCTCATATCAAGAATTCTTTGATAGAAGTTGTTATCCAGTTCTACCTCTGTATTGAAAATACTGCATAAATCGGCAATGAAACGACATTCCATATCTCTTCCTAAAATAATGTTAAATTAACTATGGCAAATGTTGCAAACTGAGGCAATATTAAATTTAATTAACTGTGGCAAAGGTGGGTTAACTGTGGCAAAATTTACTTGACATGGAACTTCCATTAGCTGCAGAAATGTCTAGACTGCCTGTTTCGTACAATATATCCTAGAATCCTTGGCCTGCATTTCTGGTGAAGGGGAAAATTGTCCAGGTTATGTCTTAGTAAGATTTGTGGTGTGTCAAAGAGTACGTTAATCGACTACGTTGCTGAGCCTTGTATAGTGAAGCAGACTCTGGAATCTAGAAAGATTTGTGTTATTTGAAATAAACGTTATTCTATTGATGTGTCTAATGACAAGAATACGCTAAAAAATTCTTGTTGGCTTACGCATTTATTGTTGAAATTGATATGAACCTCAGCGCCTGTTAAATGAAGATCGCTGATGCAGCTCATGAGAGATGGCCAGTGCCTCGTGAATATTTTTTTTGCTTATTGAGAAACGTGTCCGGATGTTGGAATGTTGGTATTTGGTTTAAAACAGATAGTTTCATATATTCTATTAATGAGTACATATTCTGTGTATGTTTTAACTCAGCATTCGTTGGCATTTATAAACAATTGATTCTGATTTGTTATATCGTTAAAAGTACAAGATATGGTTCATACCCATTCACGTTTGTTACTTCAATTGAGTAGCTGGCACCCGCGCAATGTACTTGTTAGCGCTGTTGTACTGTATGTTCAGCTTACGATTTGTTGATGTGCCTTCTCTGAACATACATCAAGGGTGACGACACCGATGATGCGGCGTTGCTTCAACGCAGGTCACTCTAGCCATAGGGGTAAAATGTCCTGAATAACGTAATTAGAATGTCCTTAATAACGTAATTAGAATGTCCTGAATAACGTAATTAGAATGTCCTGAATAACTTAATTAGAATGAACTGAATAACGTAATTAGAATGTCCTGAATAATGTATTCTTATCATGGGCGCGATTTCCCTCTCTTCTCGCCTCAGTTCATCGGGTCCACTGTATGTGCTCGAAGTAGGCTCGTTCTGGCGTGAAATCAAGTATTGGATTGTCGTGTCTGCAATGTTCATTTGTTTCGCCCGCCCGGATAAGAAATGAAACTCTTTTATGATGCTTATGTTATTGCTTGCTGTTTGATATTTTCATGTTAATTAACTGTTTAATAACACACTTTTAATTGTATTTATAAAGGCTGACTGTATTGTTGGGGTCAAGCTTTTTGATTCTCACGCTCCACTTACTGTTTGTCCTTCCATTATATTAATAAGTGGAAATAAGTATATTTTATCTTAGGTTATTATATTCAAATAATTGCATAATTGTACACAAAATAATAATAATACCTACATAATTAATAATAAACTAGATTTCGGAGCATTTGACGCAAGCATGATTGTTTTCACTCGCACCGAGGACCAAGCGTATTTTATAATGTTACATCGCTGCGTTCAGAGGAGCAGAAGTCTTCCATCTGACTGAAGTTCATATCTGAATGTTGAAAATAAATACACTGAGAAATCGATAAATAGAGCGGGGAACTGATTGTCTTCTCCAATGTATTCTCCGCTTCTATTCTTCTTCAATATAGCGGGAAACTGATTTTCTTCTCCAATGTAGAGAATTTTTCGTTTTTAGATTTCGTTAAGAATAAATTCTTCTGTGAAGTGCTCGATGGTCTTGGAAATTTGAAGGGTTGCGGTCTTGGTTCGAACCTGACTGATTTCTGCTACTGTACTGTCTTTTGGTCTTCCCATTATAGTTACAGTAGGGGACAGTATAAATGGGATATAAATTCCCATTATAGGGGACAGTATTAATTGGATTCAAGTTTGCTTAGATGGACCGAAATGATACTTAATAATTTTCATCCCTTACGAAAACATGAATTTGATTGGGAGTGAGCCCGCTCTGGATGGTGCTAACTGTATGGTGTAAGTAGCTGATGTGTTCAAGAACATCGTATTGGTATGACAACTACTATATCGGTTCAGAAATACGATGCTGGTACAATTCAGATTTTGCTGCGGTGAAATAACCCCTTCATAATATCGGTTAAGTATCTTCTCGAACAATAAAATGTATTGTTTCTTCTCGATATCAGCCTATCCTTGCCTGATACGACGGACAAATTTGCCTAACAGAAGAGAGTATTAAGAGCGAAACTTGTTATCAAATGTTCTATAACGTTAGGAATAAAGTTTCCAAAAAAAATAATGGATTTGTTTCTATTTTCTCGCTTGCAACCTTACAAGAGCTGCGCAGAAACTCGTTGAAATCAAATATATCTCTATTTGTATATATACCTCGGTTTTGGCCTCTACTGATATCACAGTGACCGCGGGTCCTCTTTCTAGAGTCTGAAAGAAACAAAGGTCTAAGTTTGGTAATTATCCTTATTACCTTGTTCCTGATTTTGGATGTAAAAATCAAATCAAAAGTATGGATTCAGTAAGCAAACGTTTACGTTAGTTCATTATGTATCGGCACGAATGAACTGATTTGAAAAGGACAGAAATTTAATAGAGAATGTTCAAAGTCGTGCAACAAGGATAATTCCAGGCTTGAAGGGCAAAACCTATGAAGAAAGATTAAAGATTATGAAGCTTCCAAGCCTCAGTTATCGACGTCTGCTTGGGGACCTCATTGAAGCATACAAGTATACTCATGGTTTATACAACGTCCCAGAAGGATTACTAGAATTTGAAACAAGAACCAACACCAGGGGCCACGGCTGTAATAAAATACTTTTAAAAAAAACACGTTTTTCTTGTGGACTAAAAAGTAGAAAATAAATTATGGCTCGCCCCAAAAAACGGGTGTCGGGCAGATTTATGATTAAAGCGAAAAGCACACAACACACGAATTTTGGAAATTTGATGGTGAACGTACAGCCCGACCCACGNGCTGACACATGCGGCCTCCTTGTCCTCTCCGCCGCTGACACATGCGGCCTCCGTGTCCTCTCAGCCGCTGACACATGCGGCCACCGCGCCCTGTCCGCCGCTGACACATACGGCCTCCATGCTCTGTCCGCCGCTGACACTTGCAGCTTGTGCCATGTCCGCCGCTGACAATCGCGGCCTCTGTGGCCTATCCGCCGCTGACACTTGCAGCTTGTGCCATGTCCGCCGCTGACAATCGCGGCCTCCTTGCCCTGTCCGCCGCTGATACATGCGGCCTCCTTGCCCTGTCCGCCAATGACAATCGTAAGGCTCCTTTTGCTGTTCACCACATCAGCTCCAGACCGCCCCGACATCGAATGCTTACATGATGAAAAGTACAATATCACAAGCTCCGTGAGCAGGTTTTAGAAACTGAATACCAGCAATAAGCTTCTTTTTCTATATATTTTATCCATCGCACTAAACTTCAACATACTTCTGTGATATATTTCGTTGTTATGATATGGAAACACTTAATGTAAAAAATTACAGAGCGTATTTGATAAGTTTTTCAACTTGCACTAATAATGACAGAACACCAAGAAAATTCCTCATTTACATTCGAAACAAACCCTTACCCGTCAAACTTTTCACGTGAATCCTACAAATGATAAATACGACACTTGACCCTCTGATTCCTGGCATTCCTGCGGGTCGAGGTCGCGTTGTCCTCGCGAGAAATGTGCCAGAAGTCCTGACAGTCGTGAAGCCATCTCGGTGTTAATAAGGTCCCAGAGCCAGCAGGCTCGTGGGAGTTCTCCCACGTGCTACTGGGCCACGCCGCGGCACTCGGACGCGCATTCCCTCGCGCTAGGCCGCGCGTGACGATGTCGCTACGGTGAGCGCTGTTCTCGAGGTGTCATAGAACAGAATAGAAGTGTCGGTACTGAAGAAATAAGCCCATGGCCTGTTGCCGATCCTTGAATTTTTCGTGACTTGATTCACAAGGGATCCGGCCTTTGGAACCCGATCTTGTTATCTCTACCCTTGGCGTCAATATATCAATGAGCAGTTGGGATCTGTACAGGCAAATTTTAATACATTGACTAAAGCAAAGGTTCCTAAAAGATTGGAGCCAATAAATATGAATTTAAATTTATTATCTGTAATATATGACATCAACATGACCCAGTTTCTGCTTGCCCTAGGCTTCAAATGATGTTTGCAAGTTTATTGCTCCTACCGACATTTCTGAACGACAAATCTATATTTTTACGTAGAACGCAAAACAGATCTATGTGAATTATGTACGGTTTAAATACTCGCCACAATTATAGTGCAGAATTTAAATTAAAACTATTTAGAGCCTCAGTTCGAACTTCCAGAAACTTCCAGCTGTTTAAAAATTATTACTAAAATTATTGTGCATAGCGCATGAAATGAGGGTTAGTTTGATCTTTCAAAGGTTCCGACGTTCCCGGGCCGATCCCAAATGATCAGAGCGCCAGTTTGTAACTGGTATGAATAATGTCAGCTGAATACTGGAATCTCAGAGCTGCCCTCCTCACGAAAAAAAACATTATGAGGAAAGCGCTGGACCTCTCAGGATCAAATTAATGAACTTGCGTAAAAATTTCCGTGGCGAATAAAACTTTAATGGGACTTTTCCCTTTACGGTCAGTGAGACTGTTTCCCCTCACGGCCAAATTTATGATGTACCATCTACCGAGACCCGATACGAGCAGAGCTGGGCAGCGCTACTTTGAAATGTAGCGGTCGCTACCGCTACACGCTCTAAATGTAGCGGGCGCTACCGCTACAATTGCTTGAATGTAGCGCCGCTACCGCTACCGCTACTGAAATGTTAGAAGCGGCCGCTACATGTAGCGCGCTACTGCCCACCTCTGGATACGAGGAATACGCTTTCATTGATAAAGGTTTTGCCGCTTTCATCCAAACAATAATGCCATGACCTGCTCATTTTCCATTTCCAATACCAGCAGAGAAAC